GCAAGTTGGACCGTCCTGGTTCACTTCAGGTCTCATTCCACAATTCGTCGATTCGGACGTACTCCTTTTCACTCCTCCGCCAGCGATCTCCATGAGTCAGACCGGAAGCAACCCCGGGAGTCCTCCCATTCCGACCCCTCCCGACTCGCCGCAGTCCACAGCCAGCAACCAGTCGCGACACTCCACGATCTCGTGCCGTTCGCACTCCCACACCTCCGATCGGGATCGACGGTTAGCTACCTTGGAGGGTGAGCTCCGCCGGAGCAACCTCGCGCGGGATCGCCTCGTCCGAAATCGGGACCACCTCGATCTGCAAGTCCACCAGCTGCGATCCAACATCCGGGACATGGAAGCATTCCAGCACGACCAGCGAGACGAGATCACCCGCCTTGAGACCGAGATCTCGACTCTCCCCACGACATTGGTGACGATCCTGAAAATCTCCGCGCCCAGGTTCTTCAACTACGAACCGAACGTAACGACTTCGAACGTCACACGATTCTCGCCCGTGAAGATCTTCACCACGCCGAGGCCGATCGTGATCGTCTGCGTCTGGAGGCCACTCAAGCCGGAGAGGAGATCAGGGACTTGCAGGAGCAGATCCGCAGTTTGGAGCGCGAGAGCGACGACGCGAGGTCGGAATCCACCACCGCTCTCGCCAGCTACGACCGGATCTCCTCCAGCCTCGCTCACCCGCAACCGGATCACGGATGGGAATCGTCCCTTGGAAGCGCCACTCGTCTGGCCCAGGCGCACCGTGATCGCGCGTTAGCAGATCTTGCGCTCGCTCGCGCAACCCTGACGAAGGTCACCTCCGATCGTGATCGCGCCTTCAAGCAACTTGCCCTGACTACCGAGGATCAGGATCGGGCGCTTGTTGATCGTGATTCGGCCCTTCAACTCCGTTGCCGAACGCGATCAGGTCCGCTTGGATCTTTTCACCGAGACTTCCCGCACTGCCCGCACTGCCCAGCTGGACGATGATCTCGAGGTGATTTGCCTGGAATTTCAAGAGCGGGAGGGCAGGATGGCGGATCTCCAGGTCGCCCACGACCAACTCGCCGAGTTGCGAGATCTGGCCGAGAGTGATCTGAATGAGGCCGATGTGCTTCTCACACATCTCGCAAGCCGGATCAGAGAGAGTCAGGCGGCGCGGATGCCGAAACGTGAGCGAAGTCCGCCCGGTTCTCCCCCTCAATTACCGCCTCTCAAGACGCCACGCAGCGATCGGCCTGTTTCCCCGCCGCCTGACCAAGATCAGCCCGAGATCGAGTGTCCGGAGGACGAGGAACCCGAAGATAAACCCGAGATCTCAAGCGGTGGTGGGGGCAGCCCGGGTGATCATGACTTCACTTCGTCAGATCACGGCCCCACGACGCCTCCTCCCTCGCCTCCTAGATCTCCCGGCGGAAGGCCTGGTTGTGGTTCTCATGGGGGTGGCTCACCCATCCAGCTAAATCCGCCGTTAATTCCCGCCGAAGCGAGTATTCTTCCATATTCCGCACTCAAGCTCTTCACGGCGGCTGAGATCACTCCGTGGGACCCGACTATAGTGGGAACCGTGCCGATCATAGCCATGATCCCGGTCACTTTGACCAAACGGTTGCCGATCCCGCCCGGTTTCCTGTTCCCCGTCTGAAGCCCCCTTGTCCGGGCACCCATACCCGTGACTGGTTACCGTTCGGAGTTGATCACTGGTGCCAACGTTTTGGCTCTCATGGCTACCGAGCCGTAGCGCATGCTTGGACAGCGTCGCCCACTCCACTGACTTTTGATCACAACCTACACCGGCGAGCGGGGAACCCTCTATGGCGGATCGCCGTATCGCATGCCGCCCTGGAGGAAGATCACATGATCGCGTATTGGGAATCGACCCATTACCTCGAGATCACGAAGGCGATCCGCGGACTCAGACCTCTTTACCCACCACCAAGATCGACGGCAGCGACGGATCCGGGCTGGAGAAAGTTGGCGGAATCTGTTGGGTAATGCCTCCTAATGATGAGGGCCCAGTGGGCCGATATCGACGTCCTGCTGGATCCCTATTTCTTCCACCTGCCGACGAAGCAAGATCGAGTGCGTTGGTACCCCGGATCGGTCTCCCGGGCAGCCAATCTCGCGCAACCAACCGCATACCCGAGCCGACCGACCTGATCACGGCCCTGTTCGATTGCGATCAGGCGGATCCCTGAAGGAATCCCTACCGTGATCCCGGTTCCGCTCACCCGTCGCTGCAGATCCTCCGCCTCGTGAACAAATTCAACCCTCCAGCGGCCCCTTGATCGTCGATCTCGCTTCCACTCGACGCCAACTTCCGGGATCTCCAATTTTTACCCGTGATCGCACTTATTCCTTGCCGATCTCGTAATTTCCTAATTTCAGCCACATCTTCTGCTTGTTTGCTCTTTTCGTCGCCACTCCTAGGCAATCTCTCTTCCGACTCATCATGTCTTCCGTGATCTCTTGCGAGGGCTTCCATATGCACATATACAACATGAACTCCTGATCTCGGTCTTATCTGACCGGTATTCCCTCGGGTCGAGACGATCAGGTAACCTCACCTCGTCCTCCTTACATCTCCTCATGTGATTGCATCACATTGAAGCGGTTTTGATTAGCCCGTTCTCGCAGGAAGGCGTTCAATATCGCCCCGCAGTTGAGATCGGCTTCGTCTACCCAGGTTCGCTCATCATATCCTGCCCAATGCACCAGGAATTCTTGGTAGATCCGACCAAATCGCGTCTTCTTCCCACTCCGCACATCAGAGATCCGCTCTACTTCGTACTCATCGGCTCCGAGATCCGGGACCCAACTGTCCTCCGGAAGCAGGATCTCATCGAAATCGAGACGATCCGCCTCATCCACCGTAAGTTCAACTCGCGGCCGATCCGGAAAATCCTTGACCAATTTCAACTTCGACACGTGCACTACTGGGAAGATCTGGTACCCGGTACCTGCGATCTCGAGCTTGACGCTGAATTCACTGAATTCGTTGATCTTTTCGGCGACTCGGAACGGACCGTGCCACAGGTGGGCCAATTTCCGCGCGTATCCCTCCTTCACCCGATCTAAGTATAACCAGATGCGAGATCCGCCCTCGATCTGGTGCGATCCGACGTCCTCGTTGTGTCGGCTGGCCCGATCTGCAATGGCCTCCTTCAATCTGGCATTGACCTGTTCTCGGGACTGCTAATAATATCGCTGGACCCGATAACGCCACCGCCGATCGCGCCGTCTCGTGCATCCGACTGGCAGTGTAGCCTCCAATGTCGATCTCGGATCCCACCCATTCACAACGTAGTGAGGGGTATCTCCTCGGATCCGATCGTGAGCCGTGTTGATCGCGAAGGTAAGCCGCTCAGCATACTCGTCCCAATCCTTCTGATCCAGACCACGAACATACATCTTGAGTGCCCTGGTCGCCGTTTGTACCATCCTTTCTGTAGTCCCGTTGGCTTGTGGTCGATATGCCATCGTCGCCCGCTGCCATTGTCCCAGGATCTTGTTAAACGCCCGGAAGAAATCGGACATGAAGCCTGGTTCTCGATCATGCCGGATCATCTCACTGGCACCAAATCGCCGAAATACACACTCTTCGTACGATTCCGCAACCGTCTGGGCCGATCGAGACGAGCTGGCTTTCGCGATCACATATCCTGTGAACAGATCGACCCAGATCAATAACTCAGTGTTCCCTTGTGAGATCTGGGTAGCGAACGGTATGTGATCCATCGCAATGAACTGGAACTGATACGTCGCCTGCAAGTTCCCCGGTGATTCACCTCGGATCACCGGTTTTCCTTTCCCTGTTTCGCAATCCACGCATTCCCCCACGTATCGCTGAACACTCCGATATAATCCTCTCCAGTGGAAGTGATCCCTGATCCGCTGGTAGGTGCGTCCCACTCCCTGATGTCCTCCTTCCAACGTGGTGCGTATCGGGAACAACCAATCTCATCAATCGGTCGCGATCGTCTCCCGATCTCGACGTCGGGGGGCAGTAAAAGAGTAGATCCTGCTCGTCCACCTCGTAGTCAGCTGCGATCTTGCCATACGATCTTGCTTCCGCTTGGGTGAAATCCGCGATCGAGCCACTCAGATACTTCTTCATGCCGGCGATCCAGACTTCCTCCTCTTGGGCCTGCTTGATCCGATTGACTAGGATTTCGCGGATCAAACCCTCTTCCATGACACTCGCCGGTGGTCTTGCTCGACCAGCTCGACCAGCTCGAGTGGTCACCGCGATAACTCGTGCCACTGGGTTCTCGGTCTTAGGGATCAAGATTTCATCTAACCGGTTCAGAGTGACCAGGTCCTGGTACCTGGGCATCTTCTGGACCTCGATCCCGCCTTGTCGTTGCAAAGCGGCACTCGCTAGAC